ATCTGTAAAATGGATGTGCATGCAAAATTCATGTTCTGGAACAAGTCTAAAATCCAGAAGTGGACAAACGACCAGAACTTTCTATCAAAGTTTACAACTGGTGAACTCATAGAAGAGTATGAAGATAACACAAAAACATTTTTCCAGTCGTGAATATTTGTTGTAATTTAGGGTTGATGCTGCCAAAGTCATAGGCCATGACTTTATATTTATAACATGTTGTTGCTACTTTGACAATCATACACTTCAAGTCTGTTGTTTAAATGTGTGTGCTACTGCTGTCACAGTCATAGGCAGAAAGTCTACCATTATACTTGTAGTATGTGTAGTATGTGTGTTAATGCAGTGGCAGTCGTGGACTGAATTTATCCTAAGGTTAATACCTGCACTTTATTTAGACTTTGATGTAGTTCCTGTGAGTGTTGTTATAATTGCCACTGTTGTTGTCTAGAAATACCAAAGAAATACCTGTCTGATTAATACACTCCTGTCAGTTCATTGAATGATTGTGTGTTTTTGTTTAAATTGTATTTTATGAAGCATCTTTTTTTTATGTATTTTTTTTTTTTAGCTTAGTATCCTTTGCAGAACCAATCCCAAAATGTGTTGGCTGTTTTGAGTTTTACTAGGATGCTCACTAGTTTGCCATTGCCCTCTGAATGGTCAGCTTTCGATATCCCTGTTGAAATCAATGCAAGCCAGTCTGCTGCTAAATTCCCCACAGCTGAAATTGAACTGGGTACCTCAGAAATTATGAAGCACATTTGCAACACCTAAGCCCTGGACACCGACAAATTTAAGTTGTATATTATACTCTTACTATTATTGTCAGTGTACCGGATGCAGACCCTGGAATTAAGGGTGGCCGGCTTGATGCTGACCACATCACCAATCTTGTGCCGATTGGTCTATAAAAATATAGGTCTAGCCCTATGTGCCCTATTCGCCTTAAGGCGTGGAAAAGGGACCTTTACTTTTTTTTATTATTATTATTGTCAGTATGATTTATATGTTTAACACAAATGGAATTAAATAACTACAAATGGAGAGTAAGATAAAATATTCTAATCATTGAAATTGTGTGACTGTAACTGGTTTTCCACTTATTACATAATATTGCCCTTTGGGAGTGAGTAAACAGTGCGGAGGCACATTGAGCATTACGGTCTAAGGAAAATGGCGAAGAGTTACCAGGGGATCTGGCTGACGCTCAACACTCAGGGAAAGAATGAGACGAATATACAATCAGACGGTTACTGGTACCATCGGAATAGAAACTCTTCGCTTGCTGCTGAAAATGAGGACTGAACACTTATGAGAGTTTCCTGAGTGCTGTGTTGTTGATTCTTAATTCAACATATTACATCATATTTTGTTACTATATTTTGAAATAAATAGAATTTAAAATTACAGTGCAATTATTTTGACTACAAAGAAAAAGATTTTACAGCAAAAGGTTGAGAATTGATAAGAACCAAAAACTTGATACTGTAGTGTTTCTAACAAAAGGAATAATAACATTATTTTCTCCAGAAAAGAATCTGATCGCATCTCAGAAATACAGTTCTACTATAGCAGTCAAGAAGTATTTTCATCTCATATCCTGACCAACCATCACATAATTATTTGGAAGGGGGGGGGGGGATTTATAGTTTTTGAAAACGTGTGTATGTTGCTCAGTTATCTCCTTTATCTTCTTAAAGTCATTTCTTCATCTTTCAGTTTATTTGTAATTGATATAAACTATCAATTAAATGTAATTTTCAATTGATGCTACTGAATGTGTGTTTATATCTTTTAATGGAGCTGTGATAGTGAAGTGTTGAGTCTGCACACCAGCTCATACTGTGGCCTTGTGTTCATTACCTAGTAATGACAGGGTAGATATTTTCCAACCAGAATGGCAGAGATTAATCCGGTCCCAGAGATTAATCCAGGCTTTTATAAACATGGACAGAGCTGATATAAAATCAACACTGTATGGACTAGGCTAGTGGATAATGGTAAATCTCTTATGCTAACATGATTGCATAACCTGGAAGTAAAGCTTGGTGTAGCACGTTTATTCCGTCTTCAAGGCCAGGATAGGAGACTTTATAACCAGCTGCTCATGGGAACAGTAAGTAGAAGTACCTTGAAGTTCCTGCTGCATCATAGGACTGAGCACGCATAGGATTGCCCGGTGTGTGGTGCCATTGATTGTGATAACATAACATCTAAACTGCCTTAATGACAAGATCATTTGTGTGTGTTGGCTTTTTACATTTCGGAATTTTTTATTATTTATGTTAATTGTCATATTTGATTTATGTCTGTGATATTCTTTTAAGTGCTATTTACCTATTTATTTTTACACTATATGCGAGTGATTCCGTCCAAATAAATTTTATTTAATATAGCTTTGGTTTTTTTTTAATCATAAACTCTTTTGAGTTCAGACAGCTGTTTTTGTTAGTGTGCTGTGCTAGGGATTAACCTCTCACTCAGAAATGTGTTACCGAATGCACATAGAACCCCCTCTTCCCACCATTTCAGTTAAAAAGTTCTTTCTCTGGGGCCCACAAGTTAAATATAGAGGAGCAAGTCAAAACGTATGGAGAAGAGGATTAAGGGCTGAGAATAATACAAAAAGAAGATGACAAAAGATGGACAGGTTCCACAAGAGAAGACTGTGAAGAAGGGGGGAAAAACATAGTGCAGGAAGGCAAGCTCTGGCCACTGAGTCTACTGCATTTCTAGTTTAACCCTGAAAAAAAAGTTTTCATCTACTGGAGCTGAATGTTGAATTAAGAATCGACATCCCAGCACTCGAGACACCCCTCTTAGCCCTCCGTCCCATCTTTAGCAGTAAGCGAAGAGTTAAAATTCTGATGGTACCAGTAACTGTCTGATTGTATATCCATCTTGCCTTTCCCCTGATTGTGGAGCGTCGGCATCTATTTGAGCTATGCTTATGTAGAGTCCTCCAGCTTCTGGTCCATTATAGTGAACCAGCTAGGCTGTCCATTTGAGTCTTGGCAAGTTATTTGCCTCTGATCATGGTTAGCTGTTGCAGTTCCCCCCATTTGTGTGTTTGTCTGTGTGTATCTCTGTGTGTAGTGTCTCTGGATGTGTCAACATGTGTGTGTATGTGTATCTGTGTCTGTGCCTGCGTAAATGTATGTCTGCGTATCTGTTTGCGTTTGTGTGTCTGTGGGTGTGTGTCTGCATGTATCTGTGTGTCTGTGGTTGTGTGTGTGTGTCTGCGTGAGCATTAGCGCCTGAGTGTGTGTCAGCGATTGTGTGTCTTCGAGTGTATCTGTGTGTGTTTGTTTCTGTGTATGTTTGTGTGCATATGTGTCTGTGTGTGTCTGCATGTGTGTGTATGCCGGTTTGTGTGTGTGGGTCGCATGTGTGTGTCTGTGTGTGTGTATCTGCATGTGTAATTGGGTATGTGCGCGTATGTCTGTTTGTGTGTGTGTGTCTGCATTTGTTTGTGCATGGGTGTGTCTATGTGTTTATATCTGTATGTTGGTATGTGTGTGGAATGTGCGTGTCTGTGTGGGTATGTAGGTATGTATGTGGGTGAATGGGGTGTGTTTATGTGTGTGTGAAGGTGTGTGGGTGTGTTTAAGTGAGTGGGTGTGTGTATGTGTATGCATTTTACCACCCATGCTTTTGTGCTTTTTTGTTTCTCTCTATTTTGATATTTATAATATGCATATTATCATATAAATATAACATGCTTATTGATAAAATACAGCTGCAGTGTGAAAGGCAGGTTTTTGGAAGGGCCGAATGTAAGACGGGCCTGCGTGCCCAATTTGTGACCCTTTTAAAAAAAGTTTGTTCGTTCGTTCGAAAGTATATAGTTAGGTTGCCCAGCTGTGAAATGTGGGTCAGGGGGAGGGGCTGTTGGTGATGGTGTTAGCGGTGGCTGGTTAGAAGTAGTGCATTTTTTCCTGAATTGTGAAATATCAGATTTAAAGGAAACATTAAAGTATAGAGGATCAGCTGGCTGCCAGCTGGTAGCGTTGCACAAAGCATGAACTCTGTAGCTTCTTTGACGATCCCCAGGGCTCATTGTGAATGGAATGATAAATCTGTGAAACAAACCCAGAGCCTAAGGCAAATGGCTTGACCACATCGCTACAGAAATGCCCAGGAAACATATGAAAGGATATATGAATGTGGTTCAATGTAGATCCAGCAAATGGTGGCCTTTGAGATGACATTTTTGCCACATTTGTGCTGCTGCAATGATTGTTATCTACACATTAGGAAATTTGCTATAGGAGACAGAGCATCTATGGGTAAATATACCATGTACCATGAAGCTGATTCTTTAAATTTAGCTGTGTATCCTTTACAGGACTTGCAGAACCAGCCGCAACAATTTTTGGCTATTTGTGATTTCAGTAGGCAGTTTTACATTCTGTAGTTTGCCATTACTCTGAATGATGGGCTCTCGATACCAGTGTTGAAATCAATGCAAGACATTCTACTGCCAAATCTTCTGCAGCTGTGATTGAGCCCGGCACCTTGGAAATATGAAACACGTTCACAGTGCCAAAGCCACAGGCGCCGGCATAATTCTTGAAAAATCAAAATCAAATTTATAGATCTCTGTACAACATTTGTACAGCTTTATGTGTTTATTTGCATAAGTTGTTATGACTGCAGTAGAAATCTGAAGCAGTTGAATGTGCTTTTTGTGAAGAGATCTGGCCTTACAGTCATATTAGAAATAATGTGAAGGGCGGCTGGCTGATTAGTTAAGAGATCTGGTCTCTCATGCGGAAGAACCACTTTTTAGTCCTCAGTAAGGTTATAGTTTTTTTTCTGTCAGGGGCAAAAATAAAATCCTGACCCACACAGTCCATGGTGACAGCACTAGCCATGCTACCCCTGCTGCACAACAAAAATGGTAAATCCATTTAGTCAAATATATTGGCAATTTTTTTTTTTTTTTTTGGTTGTGGTTTATAAATAATGTGTCAATTTTTTGTTTCTTTTCCAAGTGATGGGACATCTTGCATAGAAGTTTTACGTTTTGAGAAACAGATGTTAGACAAACAGGTAGGAATTAATTTTGTTGTTGTCACTGGCTGTGACTCTGGTGGAGATGACAAAATGGGAGGATATAAATGTTTGTTTATGTAAATGGGGGATCACTGATGACAAGAAGTTAGTTAGTTGGGTTTTCATCATTGCACTCCGGACATGTCCATAGGTGCTCAGATCCTCCCCTCAGTATGAATCCCAACGTCCGATGGCTAATAGTACCAGTTCTATGTTGATTAACAAGTCTTCTGACGTGTCCGGTGTGCGTCTCGTTTTTTGCTGTGCCGATCTTAATTCCCAAGTCTGCCATTCTGGCGAGTGATGTGGATTCACTGCCACCAAAGTCCTCTATCCTTCCCATTTCTCTGAGGGCATTGATAATATCAGCATGATCCATAGGCCGACCGTCGGTAGTGATAGCGGATCCAGCCAACCTGTCAGCTCTTTCATTTCCATCGACGCCTGCGTATCCCGGAACAAAAATAAAGGTGACTCCTCGCACAGTGGACTTCTGAATTGATTCAAGCCATTGTCTTCGCACTGAACCTGCCTGAACCCTCCGGATCATACTCATTGAATCACTGAGTATACATATGCGGGTGTATTTTTGTGTTTCAAGCCAGGCAAACGCTTGCGTCACTGCCATCACCTCCATCGTCATGCTGCTGGTTGTCATGGAGAAGGCGCCGTTGGCTTCTTTGACTGTTCTGCCCGCTGAGCGTGCTGTAAATGCCCATGCGCTTCTTCTTTGGCGTATAACTGATCCGTCTGTATAGATTAGTGCATCTGCTTCGTCTGAATTTTCACCGATGAGAGCGTTGACCTCTGCATTAACAGCAACAGGATTATCTTCTCTACATCGCCTGTTGAGTGTGACAATACAGGAAAATGTACAAATAAACGCCTGAGGCACAGGTATCCATTCTGCACCAGGTATGATGTCGGTTAGGCTGCATATTTGCCTAATAACATCTTCTGCCCGACCTAGCCACGATTTTCCCCTCTTCAGTCTGTCGCCCTTTTCACTAAAAAGCGCTTGATGCAGTGGGTGTTTTTTTATCAGCACATATTTTGAGGTATGCCCGAGCCCTCCACATCCTGATCCTTTGGTTCATTGTTGGAAAGTCAAGTAGATACCTCATTGCTCCACAAGATGTGTCTCTTGTACATCCCAAAATAATACGCATGGCTTCATTTTGCACCTTCTCGAGTCGTTCAATCTGGGTAGCACTGACAGTGAGGATGGCCAGAGCGTATTCAATGGGGGAAAGGACCAGACCATAGAATAGAAGCACCAGCAGTCTTTGCTCGATATTGGAAGCAGCCATAATCCTCATTGCAGATAGACCTTTGCGTGCTTTTGTTATCGCATGGTCAACGTGTTCCCTGAATGACAAGCTGCGATCGAACCTCACCCCGAGAAACGTCATAACGTTGGTTCTGATCAATACATTATCACGCATTTTCACTTCTGGTAAGTCCGACTTGACAATGTGATTGTTCAAAGAGAACCATGACACTGATGCCTTCGAGGGATTGACATAGGCATTGGAACCATCACACCAGGCGGCAATTCGATCGAGTTCTTTGTGCATTGTGCTGGTGATCTCCTGTCTATCACGCCCTCGTCAATAAATCAAAATGTCATCAGCAAATGACAAAGTCCTTCCCTTTCCATTCAACTGCTGCTCAGTGATCATCACCGTATAAACATTGAATAAGACTGGTGATAGCGGTGATCCCTGTGGCAAGCCTGGACATATCGTTTGCGGTTCTGAGGACCAGCTACCACATCTTAGTACAATCTTTCTCTGGAACAGGACCGCAGCAATCCAGCGGATCAGAATAGGATTGACTTCTAGTTTAAGCAGTAATTGCATTAAATAATCATATGGTACTTTATTGTAGGCATCTTCTAAGTCCAACACTGCCGCACATGTCTCTTCTTTAATCTGAAATCCCTCGTACACATCGTAGGCGAAAACAGCAGCATTGGACCATGTCTCTTTCTTCAATCTGTACCCTCCAAGTGTTGATGGGAACTTATCATGTAGTTCCAAGTAGGTGGTCAATCTTTGTGCGACAATTTTTTCTAAAAGTTTGCCAACAGTATTCTGCATCGAGATGATTCTGTAGCCGCAGATCTTTGAGTGGTCTTTATTAGGCTTTTGTAGTGGAAACAAATAACTATGGATGATGACAAGAAGTGCTAAATACAACATAAAATATGATTAGATAGCTCAATGGAGGGAAGTGACATTTTTTTTTCATGTTGACCTTGGCTGTTTACAAGTTCTGTTTTTGTTTTTGTTCATTTAGTTTTCAAGTCAGAGTATGTGTTGTTGTGTTTAGTACTCTGTTGATAAAGACTTTGGTCAAAATGTGCAATTGTACTTGTGTGCATCTTTTCCATTCCTTCCTTGACCTATCTAGTCACATTTTATGTTGTATTTAGCCTTTAATGTGTGTGTAATGTAACATATATGTAAGCTATTTATACACATTTAGTGTTTTCATTTGAATGTGACCTTGTGATTTTTTTATGGTTGACATAATCAGGTAATCAGAGTTCCAACTTCATAGCGAATGGGTCACCCATAACTGCTGAAATTTTGTGCCAACAAAATTCCCACACTCTTCCTAGTAAAGAAATTGATACAGCCTGCAGTATCAGCAAATCGTATAGCATACACATGCCTTAAATACATAAGACAACCGTCAGAAGTGCCAGCACAAATAGTACAACACTAGAAATGCAGTTCATCTTTGATGGAAGCAGCAGTTAAAACAGATCAGCAGTTGCACGCATAGTTAGGGTGCCTTAGGGTTTCTCTTGCACATCCTTGTCTCCTGGGTCCATTTTTTTAAAATATATAGAAGAAAATTGTTTATATTTGTTTATTAGAATACAAGATCCCTGTTTGAGTTCTGAATCCCCATTGTGGGGAAAACAAGACCAGATTCACTGCCTACACACACAAAAAGCATGTCATGAGAGTGAACTAGTTAGAAGCTTCCTTCGAAGTCAGAGTGCATCTGTCCGAGCAACAATGGACAGCTAGCTGAACACAAATAAGCCAGGAAAATGGTTGTTACATTGTTAAGTACTTCAAAGTAAAGGATCCTTTGTAAACCATTGGCATATTATTCTATCCACATTATTCTTTTTTAATTGAACAGTTCAGTTAAGTTTTAAGAACCTATTTCATAGAACTTGGGACATTCCCATATTTAAGAACCTATATCATAGAACTTGGGATATTCCCATAAGCGGCCTGTCCCAATCTTCAGCGGCCAGCGAGAAGTTCCAACTTCTATTGTGCCAATAGCAGTCTGATTTTAAGTGTGTCTTGCCTTTCCCCTTAGTGTGGAGTGTCGGCTAGATCCCCATAGTCACTCCACCATGATAATCTAAGCGTGTCCCCGCACTGTTCACTTCCTCACAAAGAGCCTTGACAATATCTAGCTTGTCATGCTAAAATTTACCACCAGTGGCGCAGAGCCAGCACATCTGTCCACCTGTTCATTTCCTTACATACCTGGAGAGAATATCCAAAGGATGCTTAGTACCCTGGACTTCTGAAGCGATACCTGGTACATGCAACTCTGCACGAAGCATACCTGCCTCCACCTTTCTCAGCCTGCTTTGCGAGTCAGTTACAATCACAACATATGTGTGCAGCTGATTCTTAAGCCATCAAAATGCTGCATTGACTGCCTCTACCTCCATTCTCAAACTCATTGTTGTGATATCATATGCAAGGCTTTTGCTATGAACACCCAAACACTTCTGCTCCCACTTAACACAGAGCCATCGGTAAGGATATTTACATCACCAGGGTGGGAATTATCATGAAACAGTTATTGAATTTATGATTCTGCAGCACCTGCTGGCTAGTCCCTGCACTCCCGACCCACTGTGAATAGAACCCTACAAAAGTCACATAGACCTCTCGGCCCTTGGTGGGTTAAATGGTCAGTTTCAAGTTATATTGTTGCACCTTTCCATCTTTTCAAACGATAATGTTATATTGTGCCATGTAGAGGCAGGGGAAGGATAGCCCCTGATGGTGGCGAGTTATGACTAGCAAGACTCGCTCCCTTAAGAAAAGTCTTCCACAGTAAGAGCATGGGGTTTCAGGATTGTTATCACTGTTACATTTACCATCTCACACGGCTGCATCGCACATTTCTTGAATTTCCTGACTTTACTGGTTTTTATTTCACACAATATCCACAGATGGGACAGTTGAAGGACAGTCTGAGTTTATCACAGACTCAGGTTCTCAAACACAAAAGTGCACTGCTGGAGGAGAAAATTGAGCTGCAGCAGAAGAAACTTAGAGAGGGTGGTATTGAGACATGGAAAGGTAAGGTACAAACAAGCTTATGTTGTCTCTAGACCAGGGTTTCCCAACATTTTTTTATGGTGTGCGTAAGCCTCTCTAAAATTATCATGCCCATTATTTCACGTATACATAATACTCAAACTCTGGACAGTCAAATTGCCCCCTACCCCCTTTAACAATCAGACTGCCTCCTTAACAATCAAACTGCCCCCTGTGAGGTGTGGGCCCCACATTGGGAAACACTGCTCAGGACAGTGATAAATAAAGTTGAATGGGAAGATGCTGATATACAATAAAAGGTTGTATTTTCATAGAAACTTCACTGTTTGCCCTTAAATGGGAGGTTGACACATTCTGTTGTGTTTTACACCCTGGCTGAAATATCTTCTTAGCCTTTCTGCTCAGACCCTCCGATTTCAGCAAACATTTAATTAGTCGCATATCTCCACAATCTCAAAATGCTAAGAGATGAGCAGGCAGGTTTTCGGCCAAACAGATCCTGTACTGATCAGATAGCCACATTACGTATTATAATAGAGCAAAGCATTGAACTGAACTCACCACATTACATTGGATTTATAGACTATGAAAAAGCATTTGACAGCATTGATAGGGAATCTCTCTGGAAATTGATGGGGCACTATGGAATCCCACAGAAAATTATCAACTTAGTAAAGGCAACATATAAAGACATGAAATGTCCAGTTCTTCATGAGGGAAAGCTAACAGATGCATTTGAAATTAAAACAGGTGTGCGACAGGGATGTCTTTTGTCGCCTCTCTTATTTTTACTGGCTATAGACTGGACTATGAAAACAGTAACTGCTAACACCAAGAATGGAATTCAGTGGACCCCTACAAAACAGCTTGATGGTCTGGACTTCGCTGATGATATTGCTCTTCTGTCCCATTCACGGAATCAGATACAAGATAAATTAAATATACTTAATGCGAGATCACAGCAGCTTGGTCTGAAAATCCATAAAGGAAAGACAAAGATAATGAGAATAAATCAGGCAAATAGTAATGTGGTTTTTTTCTCTTAATGGCATCCCTCTCCAAGACGTAGAGTCGTACACCTATTTGGGCAGTAATGTAGATAAAGATGGAGTAACTGATAGAGATATTTAAATAAGAATACAAAAGGCAAGAGGGGCTTTCATAGCACTAGGGAATTTGTGGAGGTCAAAAGAAATTAAAAGAAATACTAAACTAAAAATTTTTAATTCTAATGTCAAATCAGTACTATTGTATGGGGCGGAAACATGGAGAATAACCAAGGCAATTACTAATAAATTACAGACATTCATTAACTGGTGCCTGCGCAGAATAGAGGGAATAAAATGGTTTGATAGAATAACTAATGTAGAACTTTCGGAGAGAACTAAACAGGCTCCAGTGGATCAGGAGGTGAGGAAAAGACGCTGGCGTTGGATAGGGCACACACTGAGAAAACAGGAGAACAGCATAACTAGAATGTCTTTGCATTGGAACCCACAGGGGCATAGGAATAAAGGAAGGCCAAAAAACACATGGAGAAGAGAGCTGGAGAATGAGGTTAGAAAGACTGGGAGGACATGGGGAGAGCTCCATGCAATGGCGAAGGATAGAATGACTTGGCGTGAGTTGGTTGAGGGCCTATGCTCCATTGGGGGATAGAAAGGCAGAAGAAGAAGAAGATATCTCCACAATAGAGATTATCTGCCATGTGTCCACTGCTGACTACTGGGGTATTATGTGGTGAGGGCCCAATCTCTTTTACTGTGCAACTCCCTTACCACAATCTGAAAGCTGAGAGAATGATCTTTTTCCAGACTGCCGTTTGTGTTATCCCCTTGTGGGCTCTAGGGACCCAGTTTTGTGGATACAAAAATAGACCCACTGCTCCCTAACAAGCATGTTGTCAAGTACTACTAATTAAAAGTTTGCTGAAATTTGATGTATTGGACCGATGGGTGCAGATCTCACAGCCTAGTTGAAAACTACAGCTCAGTGTACTGACTAACCTTTTAGGGGGAAAACACAAAAGAAAGACCCACTTAAACATTGATAATTGCATTGTGAAACCATTTCACTCACCTTTAAGCAATAGAGCTGCACAAGAATGTTGCATGAGGTAGCAGCTCAACTTTTCATAGTGTGTATCAAATTTGGAGTGGCTAATTTGTTGTTATTGCTTCTATTTGGGGAAGGGGGAGGGGGTATGTTAACAAATGAACTGTTCCCTATTCTCAGTTATGTATTCTCTATCTATATAATACATTTCAGCATACCTGGCTACAGTAAAGACAGAAGCAATAGCATTTGAACAAGAAGCAAGGCAATATGCAAAACTTGGAGATGCCCAGAAATTTGAAACACTGATGAACAAAAAGAAGATTGCAGATAAAGCGGTAACTATATAATTGTATACTTTTTTTTTTTCATCAACTTCCACTTTTGCTCTCAAGCAACACGGGGAGGAACAATTTGTAAGCCAGTACTCAAGGGTAGCACTGTCAGTGTCAGTCCGTGAGGGTGTAGAAATTAAATCTGTCTTCTTCTCTTCCTCCTACTCCTCCTCCTCCTCCTCCTCCTCCTCTTAGTGTTCACAACTGAAAGGTTTGGTGGAAAGTCCTGGTGGTTCATCTGCTTCTGGACTTTGGTCTTCTTCCAAAACTTGAGTTTTGCATGTGCATCCATTTCACAGATTTAACTTGTTTGTACGCAGACTGTTGTTTCCTTGCCTGTGAGGCAGATACCCTCTGACTTTGAAGGAATCACCCCTAATTAGTCGCCTTGTATGACATTCTTGTAAGGGGGCAGTGGGTCTGGTCTTGTTTTCCTCCAAAATGGGACCTCAGAACCCACACTGGGATAGAATGTTAATGTCTTTATTGTCATTATTTCATCTTCTCCTTGGGTACCTTCGTGTTGTCGCATCAGATCTTTTGGACTGTGATATGTCACCAAACCATTTGATCTTCTGGTTCTCGATTAATTTGCTTCATGTTGTTATTCACACAATATGTCTGATAGTATCCTTTCTCACGCATTCTCGTATGGTTAAATTAGTGGCTTTCCTCAGGTATCTCAACTTGCATGGGTTAATTTTACATAGCTAAGCTCAGGACAGTGTCAAGGTTTGGCATTGGTAGAATATTGTTGGTGTGAATGTACTATTTATAATCTGTTTTTTGGTAGTGATACTTATTTTTTGAAGTCCTAATAATGTTGCCATTTAAAAGAAACCTGCACTCGCTTATTATCAACCTGCACTCTACATTTCTATACATCTCTGTAATTCTAATTATTCTGTGAATAATTTCTTGTTGTATTAGTTATATTTGTTATTGTAATCTAAGTCACAGTATTATTACCTCAAACTAGAATAAACCTATTTATTTACTCTGGGCACCTGTAGTGTTAGTCATCATCATGTGCTGTGTCTGTCATCACAGACATTCAAGTTTGTCTACACAGCATGCTATTGCTGTGCCACCACTACTGTTTCAGAATGAATCGTTGAATATTTAGTGTTCACTTTATTGAAATACCTTGTGTTGGATGAGATCCTGTGTTTATCATACAGAGACTACATGACAGTTGATGAAGTTCAGCATTTCATCATTCAGCACATTGACAGCTGTCAATCTCTTTAACCGTGTTGCCCCTGTGACCTAGAAAATCAATGCCAGTGACCTGTATTTTGGAAATTCCAAAAAGAAATTCTTTAAAAAAAAAAAAAAAAACCATTTTTACCAGAGGTCACCAAAAAATAAAGACAGTTCCATTTAAAACAATATTAAATAAATGTTTACATGGTTTTTTTTTTTTCAAACCTTATTACCGGTTGCAGGTTAAGACTATGACAAATGGAAGCCACTCAGAATGCTATTTGTAGTAAATGAAGACCTATCTGGCCCTTCTGAACATGTGCACAGGTGCAAGCAATAGCACTGCTATTAGCTAGGTCTCTTGTGAACAGGCCACTGTGGCCAATTTGGAAAAATTTACTGATTTGAGAAATTGAACCCAACTGGAAATGTAGGTTTTGTTCCTTCTCATAGTGGCAGAGTAAATAGCCACCAACAAGAAAGTACAATGGTACAGGCATGTAACGAGATCTACTGGCGATCCTTTTCTTTTTGTTCACGTCATCTTGAGGGCTTCGAGATTTTGTGGTGAGTTCCTGGGAAAGTCCACTAGTATAGGGATGTTAGAGTGTGAAATGGACACAAACACCCCCTCCTCATCCCCATCCCCCCTCCACACACACACACACACACACACACACACACACACACACACACATCTCTGAATCCCCAAGATGGGTTGAACACAATGAAAAGTTTCCATCTGACCTCTCCAAAACGATACGACAGGGTTCTATAGAGAAAAAGAGATTGATAAAGAAAGACCTGAATATAGAATTTGGCTGACTAGACATAATCAAATATGTCATTAAGCCCACTGTACCTGACCCACAGAAGTGGTGGGAGCTGATCAGGCAGTCCACAGCAACTGGGACTCCTGACAACACTCTGTGCTGTGGGGCTATGATGATGATGAGAATTAGTTTATAAAGTATTTTATACTGTTTTATTTGGTTGTTGCATGTTCTCCATTAGTTTATACACAGTTTGATTGTTAAGGGGGGGGGGGGGGGGGGGGGGGGGGGCAGTTTAATTGTTAATTGGGGGGGGGGGGGGATTTGATTTAAGGAGGCAGTTTGATTGTTAAGGGGGAGGGGGGGGGGGGGCAATTTGACTGTTAAGGAGGCAGTTTGATTGTTAAGGGGGGGGGGGCAATTTGACTGTTAAGGGGAAAGGGGAGGGGAGTTAAAAATGGACTCATCCAGAGTTTGAGTATTAAGTATACGTTAAATAGTAGGCATGAGAATTTAAAGAGGCTTACGCACACCACAAAAAAATGTTGGGAAACCCTGGTCTAGAGACAACATAAGCTTGTAAAATAGTTATTTTATACTGTTTTATTTGGCTGTTACATGTTCTTCATCAGATTCAAGCAATCAAGATGAAAATCCCAGATGCCTAATCTAAAGCATGTTGCTGCTTTACTGGCCACAGAATGAGGAAGCCACAACACATATATCATCATCTAGCTAACCTGACAGCAGAAGAGAGTTCTTCCTAAATGGAGGACAGGAAGTAATGAAATAGAGTGATGAAATAAGTCTACCTAACTGTGTAACTGTTAGTGTGTGAGCTTTTAAATTATTTTTTTTTTTTAAGGTTGGCTTATTAGAATACAATTATGAACTTTTTCCAAAGATAACTTTATTTTTTTAAAAACGTTATCAGGAAACACATAAGAAACTCAATTTAATGCAACAGTTACTGAAGAAGCTTTTAAAAGCATGGAAATGAGAAAGATTTATAAATTGCTTGTTATCTCCAAAATATAAATATTTCCTTAAATCCACACATAATATTTTTTTTTGTCAGTAAACTGGTTCAGAGGTTAGTGTATATGTTGCACAAATCTAGACATTCCAGACTTTGATTTTCATAGTGGTTCCTTAACTCTCTTACCCCAGGAAAACCAAAATTGGGTCACAGCTTCGTTAGAATTCCAGGGGTAAAAAACTTTTGAACATTTTAAACTCAAGTCATTAATAAATTTGTTAAAAATTTAGTTATCCAGATTTTTTTTTTAATATATAAAAGATATATGAAGGAAGTAATCAATAAAAACATTAACAGGGTGAAGCAGTAAATTGAGTACATTCCCTGGAATCTAAACAAAATTGGTAACGGGTGGATGACTAATGTCATGACCTCTATCAAAAGGCTTATGGAAATATTTTACGTCATACGGCTTAAAAAAAAAAAAGTATACTTAGCTGAAAGGAAAAAGTCCACTAAATACTATTTTTATTTTTTAGATCCTGATCCTGATTTGCGCAGACATGAAACAGCAAATAGCATTACCTATGCATCTTATAAACAGGTCTTTTTAGGCAATTTTGAAAAGTTATCTATGTGGGTAATTGGACTCAACTGGAAGTGTTGGTTTTGTGGGGGGGGGGGGGGGGGGCGAAGGGGTTAAAAATAAACTGATCTATTGGCATTCAGGCAATAGCACGCGAGTAACCAGGCTGCAAGAGATTGTGGTCACGACGTAATATTTCCAAGGAAAGCAGTTGACGTTCTAATCCCTTGCAGTCTTATGAGGAGGTGGCACAGAATTAAAGTAACTTACTTTTCAGGATGGAACAATAAATGCCCAGACCTGCACATTTAGTGATGATTGCACTGGCTGTGTGGCCCTAATTCCTCAGGGGACTTCTACATTCATCCGAAGATGTAAATCTGTTGTGCCCTTTACAACATGGCTGTGAAATTTGCACCTTTTGAACGACACATCCAACTTCTGCAGGCATTTGTTGACCCAATTATCCTTCCTGGATTCCTCAGGGTCAGTGCCCCCTTGTCTTACATGACTCTTAAAAAAAAAATTGATGAAACAAGCAATAAAAGACCCCAAACACTTTCGCCCCGTAAGAGTCTTTTTTTTTTTTTAAATGACCTTTTTAAAAAATTTCATAAAAAAGAGAAATATCCATTTAATTCTTGAAAATCTGTCCTGAGAAACTAGAGGAAAGAGAAAGAGGCAGAAAAACTTTTGAGTCTTGGGCAGTTTTATAAACTTTAAAGGAGTTGAACCCCTTGACCACTGAGCAGACATGCAAGTATGAAGTCCGCAGTTACATCGCCACCGCCAAATCAATAAATAATACAATAATATTATTAATATGATTATTATTATTATTAAGCAAAAAACGTGTGTATAAAAGGGAATTAATTCATCACTAAGTACAAACAGGGCACACACAAAAAGTTACTACCTTCCTTTCCTTTGACCATGATAAATGTGGTTTTGTTGAGATTATTGTGTCATAATGATGCAATCAAAATTTTAAGAAGGGATTTGATTTTTTTTTTTTTTTACTTTCATACTGGGGATTTTTATAGTCATACCCACAATGTCAACAAATTATGTAGTTACAGCTGAGCTGTTACATAGGTTTGGTGACCGCTGCCTACAGACTTGATGTCATCAAAAACCCATAAATGTCAGGAAAATGGCTTTCTTGGGTGAACAGGATTAAACTGTAATTTAGTATATATGTTCTCAGAGAGAGTTAGTGTATAGTAAAAGTATGGACATCATTTAGGATGCAAAGCATACGAATCAGCTAAGTAAAGAAAATAACATCTCATTTCATAGCCTCATTAAGAAACACTCTGATATAGACACATGCTGCAAAGAAGTGAAGCACAAAGGCAAGTCATCGTAAACGTTACTACATAGAAAGAAAATTTTTCTGTAGAAGTTCATTGCAATACCTTGTATAACATAAACATTCCACAGATGAGGTTTAACTGGAAGTTTTTAACCAAATTTAGTAGCTTGGTTTTCCTTCATATTATCTCTTTCATCCCAGGTGTTTTTAAAGTAGTAACCCAATCTGGCACAAAAAATAGGTGAAAGGAGCACAAGTATATGGCTTTCAAAGATACAGCTTATACTCTACAGCATTCAAAATATTTGGCAGATTTCTTTTGCATACCCAGACCAGACATGAAATAATTAAAAAATACACCATATGTTGCATTGATACACATAGGCATACGCAGAGCACACATAGTGCGTTGCTTGGGACAGAAGGAGATACAATGTAAAGGAACCTTTTGATGCTAGAGGTGCATCGGGCATGTGAGAAATGCTGAACTGATATTTGTTTGACCAAATGAGCCATTAATAGACCATCATCATGTTTTAGACCAAACTGGCGCTCAGTGGATGATGTAGACAGCATCACACGGGGCGTGATTCGCTTACATTTTCATGGTAGACTGGGTGGACATGATCTTTTTTTTTTAAATTGCACCTAGTGTTGATTTGAATTAAGAACTTTAGGTGAGTGTGTCTAGCCACTGCTACTGTGGCTTTCATTTCTTTCATATTATTTACTAACAAAGGTTTTACAGTTTTAAAGGAGAATAAAATTGTCCTATTCAGTCTTGGTCTTCCTAAAAACATTGTTTTGTAGTTACCGGTGTCATTAAGTTTGAGCAAATTGACTCATTTGGTCCTATTCTATCTTCCTTTGCATGTATGTACTAATTTCTTCTGCTGTTTTCAACAATAAAAATGATAATTTAAAATTTAATTCAGCGTCAGTCAATTGTGTGTCATCTCCCCTAAATTGCCTGTTTATGAAACACCTTCTAGCTTATGCTCTGGTTGTACAGTCTCACAGACTGCTGTTTGTTTGTCTATTGGCATTACAATGTGTGCCTCATGTCCTCCCACTTGTTTCACTGTCTGCCTCATGCTCGCCTGTCTTCAACTTTTTCCCTCTAGTATGATTATTATAAGAGCGCAGTGTCTTTTAATGTGTCTGAAAAATTTTTGTGACTGGTTTGTTTTGTTTTTTAACATTATTTCTTCAGTTACTTTTCACTCTGTCTCTTCATAACCTAATTTGTGTTTGTTTTTTCCATGAAATATGGCATACTCTTTCTGTATGTCAAGATCTTTGAGGCCTTACTTCAACTTTTTAATTACATGTTCATTGTGCAGGTTTCTGCACCATTTAGTTAGACTGAGTCCACACAACATTTGACAATTCTCAATTTTAATGTGTTGTTAATCCCTCATCTTCTCAAAGTCCATGCCCTGTGGTGTTGGTAGTCATGTCTATCCATGACCTTCTGTCTCGTGTACTTTCAGTCAACTCTGACACAGACTCCATGCCATGATGTCAGACTGGCCAGCATCTTTTCTCTCGGTCTCCCTCTGCCTCTTCTCCCCTCCAACTTTCCTACTCTCGCAGTGTAATCTAGTTTTATCCTTGTCACGCGACCAAAGAATGTAGATTGTCTCTTTCTGATGTGGGCAATCAGTTCCCTTGTAAGTCAGTTTCCTTCAAGACATCTTCCTCACTCTTTTTATCTGTCCAGAGTATTCTCATCATTCATATATAAAACCACCTCTGCAGCTTCCAACATAGTTTTCACTAATTTACCAACTGTGTAAATCCATCTAGATAAATAATATTCTTCTCATGTTGTTAAAAATACTTTGACCATTCGCATACTATTTTTATTTTACTTCTGTCATTGTGCAGTCACAGCTGCATAAGTGTTAGAGTTTAGTAGAAGAGCTAACAACTCAGACACCCAAACCTTGATCTATTAAATATAATTTAATGTGTTTAAAATTAGGGTTTCGCAGTGCAACTAGAATGTTGGCTGATTCAGCTGGGGCTGACTATAGTGCGAAGTGCTATGAAAGAAATCGTCTATAGTTTATTAATCCAGATCTCGATGTTGCCCTGATTTTGAAGCTTCTGCTTAGTGAGCCCATAAAAGTCTCCATGGCTTAGTGGTTAAGCCGTTTAATTTGTGCTCCTAAGGTTGTGGGTTCATTTCATAGACTGCACCATTCAGTTCCCACATGCGATACTTTGGAGATCCCTGTCACTGAACCCACAAACCTCATACTTTGTGTGACACTTTGTCGCCCACTTCTGGACTTAGTCTTGCTCCAGAACTTATGCAAATCCAATTTACACGTCTGGCTTATTTGTATAAAGACTGTTGGTTTCTTGCCTCTCAAGTAGATGCCCTCCAACTTCAAAGTAATCAACAGTTTTCTTAAAATAAGCCAGATCTGTAAAACAGATGTGCACACAAAGCTCAAGTTCTGGAACAGGTCTGAGGTCCAAGAAGTCTACAAACAACAGGAGCTTTCAGCTGGGGTTTACAGCCAGTGAACGTTAAGAAGTAGTAGTTACTTGCCTCTTCTCTATTACCACCACATCTGTAAGCCTACCACTGCTATTTCATACAGTTGGTGCTATGATTGTCAGGTCATCAGCTAAGAGCAGTTTATTCAGTAATTCTCCAGTACTGTCCCCTTCGCTGATGTTAGCTGATTTATAAGTTTGGTCGACATTTGTGATGAACAGTAGTGATGAAAAAAACACTCGTGTCTCACTCGAGACCTAACCTAGAATTTCCATG